AAGTAAACATTCTGAAAGTAACTGAGAACCCCAGTCCTTTACACTTCCAGCAAGAATTAGGTCTACAGCTACAGGCTGTAGAATTTACAGATTGTCTGTGTCTTTTGCATAATATTTCCTTCCAGACAAATCTAGGCTCTAAGAGATGCCAAAAGACAGTTTAGGCAAAACTAAACAAAGCCCTGAATGACCATGAGGACAAATCATCATGCTGGATTAGGTTCCTGAAGAAAGCACCTGAGACAGACAGCTAAAATTCCCATTGCACTCCACGGACAGGGAGACAAACCTGATAAATTTTATTTTGCACATCACCTTTAAGATGAAACAAAATATCCTAAAAAGTATTTATTTATCTGCCTTGAATTCAGACATACCTCACTTCTGGATGTCAACAATTCATTGTATAAATCCCTCTTTCAACTCAATTTTGGAAGTTGGATTTAAGTGTCTAAAATTTTTTAATGCTTTTGAGAATCCACCCTGTAATTTTTTTGTAGCTCAATATAAAGTCTTGATATCATGCACAGGCAAGCTGAGATATGGACAATTTTAATAAAAGCACCATCAGGATCTCTTTCAGTAGTGGTCTCAATTGTCTCCAAAAGCTTCAGCAGAATTACCATTCTTTGAAAGCAGAAAAGCAGATGTATTCTTTGAACTATCTGGCAACAATTATATCTGGTTGATGCAAAGAAGAACTCTGGGGCAGTGCAGAGCAGTGTCTTGGTAATATTTAATCACATTTTGGAAGAATGCATTGATAGTAGAGTTCACTGTGCGTAGAGAGACCTGGGAGATTGTGTTCAGTTTAACTGAGCACCAACAGCCTTTAGGTTAGATTGCATCACACATAGATGTTTTACTGATTAACTCTCTTAAAAAATGACATTTAATTTTCTTTCAAGATATACCCTCTCCACTCTTTTATTCATGCACACAGATTATCCAACATTAAAAACAAAAAACCACAGTATTCAGAAATTCATACTGCTTACTCTTTCAGGCCATTTCATGACATTCCCCTTGATAACAATACAGAACGTTCCTTCAAAAACATGGGAACTGGTTTTGTTTGTTTATCCTTTCTTTTACATTGTTCCAGAGTGTCAATTCTGACATCCCATATTTTTGCTGAAATTCTTCTTTGTAGCTTCACCAGAGCTATATAATTGAGGGTGAATTAATCAAATACAAGTGTTACAAACCAGAATTTTAAATGTTATGAGCAAAAACATTTTCCACCCTTCTTCAAAGCTCATTCTGCTCTGTATAAACACCACTTTGCTGATTCTTCAGCCATCAAAAACTTTTCTGAGCTTTCTCAATGTAAAGCTGTAGGCAAATAATAGGAGTAAGAAGGTTCAATTCTGACTTTTTATACACGTGATGCAAAGGAAGTCACAGTCTGACTCTATTTTCATTCTCTTAAGCATATGCTGGGAATGAGAATACTCTCCAGATGGTCCTTCCCATTCTTTGCACAGAAGGCCATCATCAAAGGAAAGTCAGACACAATGGCGTGAAATATATTTGAAAAGAATGTATTAGCATGAACTCACATTCATACTATCAAAAACAAGCAAAATAAGAGCTGCACAAAGGAGATTAGAACATATCAATAGGGAAAACCAAACCATTTGCTCATCTTATGAAACTGTGGAACTGCATTTCTTCAATATTCAGGGGGCTGGAGCACCTCCCCTATGAGGACAGGCTGAGGGAGTTGGGCTTGTTCAGCCTGGAGAAGAGAAGGCTGCGGGGTGACCTCATTGCAGCCTATCAATACCTGAAGGGAACCTACACCCAGGAGGAGAGTAAACTCTTCAGAAGGGCTGACAACAGCAGGACTAGGGGAAATGGATCCAAGTTGAAGGAGAGAAGATTTAGGTTGGATGTTAGGGGGAAGTTCTTCACAAGGAGAGTAGTTAGGCCCTGGAACGGGCTGCCCAGGGAGGTTGTGGATGCCCCGTCCTTGGACGTGTTCAAGGCCAGGTTGGACGGGGTCCTGGGCAACCTGATCTGAATGTGTACGTTTGGTGGCCCTGCTAGGCAGGGGGGTTGGAACTACATGATCCTTGAGGTCCCTTCCAACCCGGGTGATTCTGTGATTCTGTGATAATATTCCCATGTTTTTAGCCTTTGTGTTTATAGAATTGGGGAAGTTGCTGATTTTGAGTTACTTAAAAACAAAACAAAACAAAACAAAACAAAAACCCACTAAATAAACAAAAAATTCCTGTTAGGTTCACCTGGCACATTATACATGGGCAAAAAGAAAAAAAAAAAAAAAAAAAAGAAGTATCTTATTTCATCTCTAGATTGGCAGACTTTATGTTAAAATCATCAAAAATTGTACAATTCCTTCCAAAAAAACATAACTTATCCTGCTTGACTTATAAAGTGAAAAAAAAAAAAAAAAGCCAACTTTCTTGTTTTTTGTTTTTTTTTGTTTCTATTTTGTGGAAATGTTCTTGAATATATGACAATACAAAGCAATCTGAGCACTGACGTCTGCAGACGTGCTCTGACAATAAAATTAAGGCATGTGTATTTGAAGGAGTTAGGTGCCAGTGTATCTGCCCAGGTACTACTGAGAGGTATAAGTGGATGAAAAGGAGCAGTTGCTGTAAGAAGTCCTCATCCTTTCTCTCAGCTACCGTTATCCCGCACTGCAGTTCCCATGCCCTCAGTGGAACCAACATGGCTGTTGTGGGGCTGTCATGAAAAAAGAGTATCTGTAACTACTTTTCTTAGTTTTCTTAATCCAAATCAAGTAGAGTAAGGAAGATGTCATTTTCTGCTGGGAAGGACAAGATGAGATCTTTCATTAGGGTGAGTGCTGCTCTCAAGAAAAGCAGGCAAATCTTTCTACAGATTCAAAACAAGTCACAGACTTAATGCAAGAGCTCTTTGGCAAAAATCTCTGAATTTCTCCCAGTTATGTCAATCTATTTGGTAATATCACAGTAAAAAATAATAGGAGCAAGCAGATCAGCTAGGGAATACAGCCAAAGGACTGAGGTAGGACAGCGTTTGGTGTGATGAAAGATAAGAGATATCACTGCTCAAAGAAGGGAGCCTTTACTGTGGTGGCTGCAGAAATGTATGCATGAGTTTTCCTTGTACTGTTCTGACATAATTTGGTTCCCCTAGTGACACGTATTTTATGGGATGACTGTTTCTGATGATGAGTTGGTGATGCTGGGGTGAGACAGAAGTTACTTGGTCCCTTACAGTTCAGACCTTGGGGAGATTATCTTCCAGAGTAATCTTGTGATGTGCAATCCAGTTTAGCTGGATTAATAAAGGCTCAAACACAACATTCAAGAGTTTATCAGCTAAGCCAACAAAACCAATAAATCTTAGCCTTTAGTAACATAATTTGATTCACTACCTGCTAACATTAGTCAATTCCCTTGTGCTAGCTGGTACAAATACGAGGTCTGATCACCACGCTTCAGTGGACCCACTTGAGCCTAGTATCGTGTTTCCAACTCCTTACAAGCACAGAACTCCTGGGCAGAGACAGTCCTATAGACTGAAAGGGACTGAGTCTAATGCTAAGATCACTGTCAATCTTCCATACACACATGGGCAGTAACTTCAGTGCAGATTTTCAAGAGACAAAGTTCAAGATCTCCAGAGAGGTTCCAGGCTGCTGCTGGCTCACCGGTGTGCCTACATGTGGGTGCCAGCTCAGGTTGCCAAACCCTTATCAACTAATCTTTCAAATACACAGGGAATTTCTTGTAACACAAAAAATACATTGTTTTAGCATGCTGGCCTAATTTAGGTAAGCTTTCATGAAATGGTGTGGAAATAATTGAGTAGTCCTTGTTGTCTTTGGTTTGTAGTTCTAATTGCAAAAATGTTTATGCACAACAGATAATACTCTCAGTGTTTTCGGTATCTAAGAATCACATTAAGAATAAACACTAATGACATTTTTCAAGATACATAATCAGCTTGTTTATGAGACTCGTATGTCTAAAGAGGAGATTTCGATTATTTTAATACAGTCCTGTGGTGGCTACTGTTGACTTTCCAGCAGGCAAACGGACAGCTTGACAGCTAAATACTTGAAGAGGTTTCATACTTAAGTATCTCCAAGATCTTAATTTTCCAAGTAAATCAGATCTTACATTTGGGTTAAGGCATATAATAATCCACGTGATATGTTGGTAAAAGAAATATCTTTGTTAACATGTAGGAAGCAGCTGGAAAAATAATGTATTATCAACAAGAACTTGTAGTTTGGTCAATGCAAAATAAAGCCCTTGCAAAATGGTAACAAGACGTATATTCCAAGTACTTCTGTAGTTAAACTTCCTTTTTATGAACCTCCAACCCCTTCACTAAAGCAAACAAACAGCAAAAGTAGATGCAATATATTACTATTTAAGAATATAATTTTTTAAAACACCTGTCTTCAGAACATAGATTTCAAATTAGTGATCACTTTTCAAATAGTTATAATTCTTACAGCTAGATAAACTTATATCCATGCTGTCTCATCTTTCCAACTCCTTAACATAATGATAGCAGCCTATATGCCAACATCTCATAGACAATATCATCACAGCCTCCCTTAACCCTCAGAAAAATAAGAATAGCTAACTTTTCACTCAAATGTTTAATAGATGCCAGTCATTTAATCATCAGCCTAAGCATGTGCATCTGAAATAAACATCTTCAGTCTGCAGACACATCTCAGGACAACAAGATACCTACCCTCTTCAGAAGTTATCTTGAAGAAGGAACTCAGAGATACCACTGTATTTATGTCATTTCTAAGATGTAAAGGTAGCACTGCCATCCAGGCTTGAATTGGGAATCATCTTGATGGGTTCTGTGACAAACTCAGATGGCACCCTCCTCCCATCAAACCTTTTCTGGAATGCTGCCCAACCAATGACAACTTTCTAGACACCAAGAGAAACATCACATTCACAACTTACAAATACCACATATAGAAAAACTTAGGATAATATACTTACCTCCACAAACTGGCAGCCTTCCCAAATACCACAGTAAATGCGATCTAATTCCAGTGAACTGGTTATATGCCAAGTAAATACAATGAAATGGCCAAAATGTGCATTGGGAATGGAAGGAGAAGAAGCCTCACAGCATGGCTGAATGCTTCCCATAATGTGCCTCATGTAACAAGTCATCATTTTCTTTTACATAACATCTGAAAGAGAAAGGGAGAAAGTTTCTCTGCTAGTTGTTACAGATTTTTGCAGACAGTAATAACATAGCATAGTAAGGATTAATACATACCATGTATGTATTGTTTGTACCTATTCCAAAATGAATACTTGCAATGAAGTAATGTTCTATTTAGTGAAATTTTAAGCAAAATTTTACTAACCAAGCTTTACATGCTTCCTCAGTTAAAAAAGTAATGAAAACTTTGCAGCCAGCAGAACTGCAGCATGCAGCAGCACAAGAGTATCCATAAATTTAAAGCTGTTTGTCATCTACTTTGGAGAAAAAAAAGAAATTTAAGGTAAAACCTCCCAGCACTGTTGCCAGGGAGTTTGGATTGTTTTGTGGCACATCTGCAGAGTTGAGGGGTTTGGGTATAGTGATGATATTTGCAAAAGGGCAGCTCATGTATTACTTAAGACCTGTTTTTGCCCCTTGGTAGAGCTAATAGAACAGCATTGTTTAGTAGAAAAGTCCCTTTGGTGCCTAATAAACTACACTGAGTTTAAAAATTATATAACTTCCAATTTGAGGCTGCATTTTCACTTGCTTTAAGAGAAAGACTTAATCTGGACTACTTCTTCGACTGTGCTACAGAACTGTATTTAAATCATTACAGAAGAGCACAAGATTGGTATACTTGAGGCAGAAAATGGGGAGGCTGCACACATCCATACTCAGCTCACTAAAATTTCAAGTCCTCTCAAGAAGTATTGGTTTCTCTCCTCTGACACTACAGGAAGTTCAGTAATTAGCATGCTGCTGGTCCCAGCTGTTGTGTTAACTGGAAGTTTTAAATTAGATTAGATGGAAAATACTGAGGTAAACGAGATACCTTGAAATTGCCAGGAGATGTAGGTTCAATGATCTATTAGATGTTAATGATTGAAGGGACCTATAATTAACAACGATAGCATTGCAAAGTATTTGAATGTTCCATTGCTGCGGGACACATCACAGACACCAAGTATTAATTATGACTTTTAAAATTCATCTGTCCTCAGTGACCCATTGTAGCTTCACCGAGGAGCACATCTTTGAGGGTGTCCTCGACTTCATCATGTGCTCAGTCTCTCACGGAATGCACTGGCATCATTTCCTTCCTACAGCAGAGTTCAATTTATGTTTTTCAAAGCCACCTCTTCTCAGTTGGCAGTAACTGACAAGCCTTGCGCTGGGTAATTTTGTTCACTGGATATGCCCTTCCAGGACAGTTTTCACTTGGAATCTTTCCAGGGATGTGTCATCTCAAGTTTGTTTTACTTGGATAACTATTGAAATCTCATCAGCACAGCACTTTTTTGCCCCCCTATACTTAATTAAAGTTGTGCACTATAACAGAATCCTATCAGTTCAAAAGAAAAGAGAACCTGATCAACCACCATGGAGCAACATTATCTGCTGGGCTAGAGAAGGTTAATTAGGAGTAAGATGACCAATGCTTTTAACCAAGTAAGCAATAAAGAATTTGAGCAATCAGTATGACCAGAGCACAGTTTCAAGCCCACATAGGCAAACTGGTATAGACCTCTCCATGAATGTCAGTGGCTGACTGGACCTGATGTAAGAAGAAAGACTGACGTTCCCACAAAACCACACCATTTTAACAAACTGTCTTGGTTTTAAACAGCACCTTGCACACTGATCTCATTAAGAATAATGCCTTTACTTGATACATAAAGAAAAATGCTTTTCTGTTTCATTGTTACATCTCAGTTTCATGACATTTTGGCAGTGGAATTTTTCTCTACCCATTTTGAGAGTCACTTGTTTTGGTCAGCACTGAAGATCCCTCCCACCCAGTGACACAGCTAATTGCATAGGGTTCCTAGAGCAAAACTAATACGTCCTTGAAGCTACAAGTAGGCTGTCACACTTCTGCTGTTTATCTCTTACTAGCTCTGCTGCTCACCAAACCCTACCTTGATCTATTTTACTGCGTCAAAATGGCAGGGGGGAGAGATAGGGTTAGATAGTTTTCTCCTGTACTGTTTAGGAGGATATATCAGCTCTCAAAAGGGCCTGACAAAACTGAAGCCGCTACCCAATGAATGAGCAAAGCACAGCTCAGATTAGGTGCAAGACCTCCCCCTTCCCCAAAAGTAAAGTGGTGCCTCCTCCTGCCTGCTTTTCTGTTTGCATTATTTTTAACCTTATCTGGTTCCCTGACTCAGTTCACAATCCCCAAACAGTTGTGTCAACAACTGAGTGAATGACAGCCTGAGTGTAGAATTTCTTCAGCTTGTTTCTCTCTAAAGGCCACATGTAGCCTGAGCAGTATTTTGCTTCAGGCAAGTCTACCATGTTCATTTAAGTGAAGACTAAGTGTGGAGGTGTTACCAGCCTAAGGAAGATAAGAATCTGGTGCATTTATCTTGTAGTTAAGTTTATATTAATCCACTATACACTCTGCTCTACCAGAACAGAAAAAATAACATTACAATTGATGAGCAGCTAAGCTTGTGATATATTTCAAAATCACAGTTCTCAAGTTTGTCTTTTCACTTTTAAGGTTTAGTTTCTACATAACGTTGAAGTAAGCTTCTGTTCCTTACTATCACTGAAGTTTCACAACTACTCTCTACAGATATAGAGTAAAAGTTTTGCACTAAAGAAGCTATGATAATTCAGACAGTTTCATAAATCATCCCAGAAAAAAAGGCAAATCTGAGCGGCAGGAAAGGACTCAGTTTGGCAATGAGCCAGCCCCTTCACTTGCTTGAGAAAAATTTGGCTTCAGGGATACATTTCAGAAAAACACTTTCAACTATCACAGAATTATGGAATTATTAAGTTTGGAAAACACCTTCAGGATCATCAAGTCCAACCATCTCATTGCTAACCCATCTTTCTTAAATACCCCCAGAGATGGAGATTCTAGCACATCCCTGAGAAGCTCACTCCATTGCTTGACCACCCTCTCTGTGAAGAAGTTCTTCACAATGTCCAATCTAAAAATCCCCTTGCACAGCTTGAGACCACTTCCTCACATTTGATCACTTCTCACCTGAGAAAAGAGACTGATAGAACATTATGTTGTGATATCTTGCTATTATGAAATATGAGCTAAGTTTACTACTGTGATTAGGTTGATCATCAAAACTGCAGAAAAATAACGGGAGCCATTTATCTTGACTAGGATCTTCTGTGACTACATTAGTTCAGAAAGGGAAGTTTCTGCCAGCTGAGTTTGGGTGGCTACTCAGCTGATGTTGAGGAGAATGCCTCAAAGGCCAGCTACCAGGACACCAGCTGTACAGTGAGTGAAACCTCTTTCTCCACTGGACTTAAAAACTCTGTGGACCAGCTAGACACAGATCACAACTTGATACTGACATGTAGTTAACTGTTAGTGTTCTGCCTTTGTCATGTATTTGTCTGTTTCCAAACGCAACTAAGAGCTCCTTTGATTCCTTTTATTTCACCACTAAATCTTGCCCAATGTTAAGAAAAACTTTACGTTAGTTTAAGAAATACTGGAAAATTCCATTCCCAGGGTGAAACCAGTCACCCTGTGGATCACAGACACAGCAAGTTCAGCAAAAACAAATGCCTCTACTTAACATTCCTAAGCTGTTCATCTTCCACTGAGTTCCACGGCAGGAAGGATTTTCTTCCTTCATAAGCAGTGGAACAGCAAGGAAGAGACCTAAAGGTGAGACTCCCTTTAGATCTCTTTACAGTGGGTTGTGGCATCTCTAATCCATGGAAATAAAGAAGCAATCTTCTCTATAAAAAAATGTCCAATGCATTTAAAGATCACTATATTCTTTAAATACCAAAACAGTAATTTCATTTATTTGAAGTACTCCCACTTAAATTTTTATTTCCCCAACTCTAAAGACCCATAATTTTTTTTAAAAAAGAACAAAAGTATGACCTGAGATTGGCAAGCAGCAAGTCAAAGCTTCATCTAAGTTCTATTACTACATTTCTCTCATCACTTTTTATTTGAGCTGCAAAATATAAATATGCCCAAATCCACTGCTAAACTAAATCAGCTGATAAGTATGACGCAGTACCCACCTAACAGTGATAGTGCACTTTCAAATGATCCTTTGTAATGCAGGCTAAGCATGCTAAAACTGAGTGGTTTGGCTATATAAAAATTCTCAAGCAAGTCTGACTGCTTGAAAATTTTCACATAAAGGCTAGTACAAACAAACAGTTTGGGAAGTAACACTACACACTAACACCATGCAAGATCTTCAGTCACCTCCATCTGTGCCAGCCAAGCTCCAAAGGAGAAGCAGCAGCTGAGGTAAAGATGTCACTCAACACAGTGACCAAAATGCAGATCAATTATCAGACCTTACATGACACTTATATTTTATCCTTCCAGTGTTTCAGTGATTTTAATGGGTCTTCTCAAAACTTGAGAAAATTTCTGAGCTATACATAACTATATAGCTCCAGAAGTGCTTACCTTTCAGGGCAGTACTGCTGATTCTATCCATTCCTGTCCTTATCCCATCCCACCTTTGTCTTTGTTAAGCAATAAATTTGTCCAGTAAAACTCCTTTCTGCTGGGCAGTTCTGTGGACTTTTTGATCAGATTTGAAAACGTTGTAAGTGCAATCCTCAGCTCTCACAAGACTTTCCCTCACTAAATTAAACTGCCATACCAGGAACATGTTAGATCTGTTTATTCAAATGACATTGAAGGATTAGCCACCATACATGCAAAGGCGGTCATACTTTTTTTGAACCAGCTTCAGTTTTGCTTTGTCAGAAATTCACAAAAAACCTTATCAAAAATCACATTATTCCTGCTCTAACTGAAGATAGCAATGTTTCCACAAGGGCAAAGTTTAGATGGACAAACAGATAAAAATATAAGGTCACTTCAGTGAGGCAATCTGAGCTGGAATGTACATTCTGAACAAAGTAGTCAGACTGCGTACAAGGTTTTCCTCTCAGTTCTGTGCAGCATTTCCAATAGAGAAAACCAGTCTGGTGGCTAAACCAGAGATGACACAGGGC